AGTCCTGTACTGGCCTCCCAGACAGCAGTCTGGGGTCCATGTGATCCCCATATTTAAAGCCAGCTGTTTCTGTGGGTTTTTCCAACCTGGTACCAATGACCCCTTTGATCTTCATTCCTCCCTCTCTGCAACTGGGTTCCAGAGTTCAGTTCAGTGTATATCTGTGGGTGTCTGCCTCTGCTTCCATCAGCCACTGGATGAGGGCTCTAAGATGGCATATGAAGTAGTCATCAGTCTCATTATAAGGGAAGGGCCTTTAGGGTAGCCTCTCCACCACTGCCTAGATTGCCATTTGGTGTCATCCTTGTAGATCTCTGGAAATCTCCCTAGTGCCAGATCTCTTCTCGGACCTTTAATGGCTCTCTCTGTTATGGTATCTCTCATCCTGCTCTCCTCTATTCTTCCCCCAACTGGACCTTTCTGCTCCTCCATTTCCTCCTCTCCCCTCCTCTTCTCCCCCTCTCATTCTCCCAGCTCCCTCTCCCCTTCCATCATGCTCCCAATTAGCTCATGAGATCCTGCCCCCTCCCTTTCTCTGGGGTGCATGCATTCTTCTCTTAAGAGTCGTTGTTTCCTAGTTCCTTTGGTGATGTGGATTGTAGGATCTGCTCTGACGCCACCCTCCTTTCTCCAAGATTCTACTATGTCTGGCTGTCCTGCCTTATATTTTCAATAAAATGAAAAAAAGTAACAAAATAGAACCCAAATAAGAAAAAACTACCACTTTGCCAGCAGAACCCCAAATAAATCAGAGGAGTCAATGCATAGTATAACAAACAGCATTTTATTTTTTAAGTTTATTGAAGATGCATGCGGAAGGTGTGGAAGGATTACTGAGGACAAGCTCGAGTAGATGCTACAGCTCTCTTAGAAGTGGTGGCACTCAAAGAGCCTTTGGGTTTCAGTGAAGTAGAAGTGGTTCGCTGTTTGGAGATGTACCGGAATAGGGCCAATGTGCCTTCAGTTGTTGCTCGCTTGCTGAGCTCACCGGGCAGCAAAAGATACACTGCACTCTGGATGTCTCTTGAGTTGATAATACTTCTTCGGGTGTAACGGGCCAAGTTGCTTGCTTCTGTCGCGATTCTTTCAAACATATCCTTCACGAATGAATCCAAGATGTTTAAGGACTCTTGGGAAAGGGTGAAGCCCATATGGATATTTCGTAGCACTCTGGGGAAATAGATGGTAAAACTGTCCTTACGACGTTTGATGAGGCGGGCGGCTCTGCGGCGTTCTTCTTCTGTCATGCTTTGAAAGCGCCGACGCCTCTCTAATTGCTTCTGCCTCTTCTTTGCAGTAGCGCTCTTAGGCCTTCGGATCTTCTCATATTGTTGTTGTTGTTGTTGTTGTTTTCAAGAGACAGGGTTTCTTTGTCAACCAGGATGACCTTGGACTCACTGAGATTCACCTGCTTCTGCCTCCCAAGTGCTGGGATTAAAGGCATGTGCCAGCATCACCTGGCCTGTAGTTCTCTGTTTAATTTTCTTCCTTTTTTAAATTTTGAGGTAGGGTCTCATCAAGTTGTACAGGTTGTATTTCTGTTTACTTGTAGCCCAGATAAACCTTGAATTTGCAAGTACTCCTGTCTCAGCCTCTCAAGTAGGTGAGATTATTGGTTGTCAAATTCTTGACACACTCCCAGTGACTTGTATCTGACTTAAGACAGTGAGGGAATGAAGAAAAGACGGACATATGGCCACACTTGAAGAAAGCTGGGATTTTTTTATGGCAAAACTGCAAGACTCAAAAGCTCAGAATGTTTATTATAGAGTTGAACAGGGGGTGGGGTGGAGGGAGTGTATGCTATTGAGTACAGCTGGCAAGGAGGCAAGGTTATTACATACAGATAAAGTATGAGGCAAAGTTTAGGGTATACAGCTGAATCAAGAGGCCAGGTTTAGCTAGTCCTGGTAGGATCAGTCTCTGTTATGGGAGCAATCTTCAGACCATAAATATCTATTAGGGAGAATGCTACAGCAGATATTTTCATCACATACCATCAACATTTACACATGGACCAGAGGAAGGCTTTGCTTTTTCCCTCTGAGGCTCACAGCAGGAGGAGGAGGGGGCTTTGCCATTCTGCCATGAGACATGGCCATGCCCATGTCAACAGTACACATTCACTCAGGACTTCATTTATTTAAGTCTCCCTCCAATACCTACAATCAGCCTGTACCACCAACTTTCACCACATTCAGTCAATGTCAGAGCAATGCCTTGTAGACTCAATGAATGTTAGGGGTGACCTAGCTAGGGAAAAATACAGGTCCTTTAGCAGAATGCAGTGAGGCCAAAATTCTAAGAAATCAGAACTTTTTAAGGTTCTTTGCAGAGTATGGCAGAACACATGAGGCCAAAATCCTAAGACTTCAGAACTGTCCAAAACAAAATTACACATCCCTTTTTATTATTCTTTAAATTTCCATTGAACTGACTAGTTATTATTTCATTTGGCAACCATTCTTCCTTAAGTGATGGCTTGATATGATTTGGTTTTAATAATTAGTACTAAGTTTTAGTTTTGGATACAGTAGCTTTACAGATAATAATGTTTTAATTAGAGTTACTTGACACAGCATTTATAAATTTGCCTGGACATTGCATAAGTAATTAGAAAAATGTATGTAACATACGTCATGCAACACAAATCTAGTTTTCTCCAACTTTCAAAACTGGTGTTGAATACTGATGGGGGAGGGCCTTCTGTGTATATGTTTGTCTTACTGGTTGATAAATAAAGTACTGTTGGCCAATAGGGAAGCAAGTTAGGTGGGACTAGGAGTCTAGGAGGAATCTGAGAAATCTAATAAAGAGAATCTTACTTGTGATCCAGGCAGGAAGTGACATAGCAGGCAGACTCAAAATATAAGCAGGAATAAGCAGGAAATCCCTCTCTTCCTCATCCTGTCTTCTCTGTGGAGCTGCCATGTGATCCCGGGAAGAGGACACATGTCACCGGCGTCCTCCATAAGATAAGTCTTTATAAATATACAGATTAATGGCTATGGTTGTTACTTAAGACAGAGCAAGCATATAAAAAACCCTAATCATTGGCCAGTAGCATTGTACCTAATATTAATCTCTCTGTGTTATTTCGGACGCCCACGTGGCAGCGGGGCTTGGGCAGTTGACAGAAAGATTTATCCTTACAGTATACAGTTGTTTATATCAAATTATTGTAAACATTTCAATCTCAAATTGATGAGAAGCAGAGTATTCATTTTGTAAGTATAGTAGGTAGCTAGTGTGAAGCTATAGCTTAGCATGGACCTCTGTGACTCGTCTTTACATCTCATTCACTTATTTTAGTGTTTGGTGGAAAACTGTTGTAGAATAGATTGCTTTATAGCAATCTAAATGTTACAAACAAAAAGTCTCCAAATTGAACTTGAAGTAAATGTCTGACAATTCTTTTATCTTTCTATTGTCTTATTAAAGTATATTTATACATGACAATTGCCATCATAATAATTTTCCAAGTGATTAGTTGTCTAGAAAATTTAAAGAACCCAAGATTCTCCAAGAAGATAAAAATAAATGGTTTCCTTTCTAGAAATAATTAAGTACCAGTTTTCTTAAGCTTGTAAAGGTAAAATTGTCTGCACAGCACCATCTACATAGCATTTAGGTCCTTCATTAATATCATTCTTATAGATTATATGATTATTTTCATCATGCCTTTCCTCTTCAAAGCCTTAATTCCTCCTTTAAATTCTCACTGGATAAATTATAGTAGGTACCTTGCTTTGCGTTTTAAATTGCAACTAGGAAATGGGTGACATTTCTTCATCTTTTTTGGGTAGATGTTGCAAAAAGTCAGATTCAGAAATCTATCCTAAGCTCTAAAATATTCTGTTTGGGAGCAACTGTATCAGGAAAAGTATACCAATCACACCGTCCTCAGATTTCCTTGGAGAAGGGTGAATGGGGGAGTTGTTCCATTGCATAGTGGCGTCTGCCATGCAGGTGGAAGAAGTAGAGATAATAATCACAGGATAAAGGTAGTAAGTATCACGCTCTCCCTGCTTGTCCTTTTGACTTGTGACTACCTCCATCATCTGCATCTTCAGTAGAGCAGGTTCATCATGTACAGCCTGTATTGGAGTTCATTAGAAGAATGTTCAAAATGGCAGTCTGATGTGAAAATGGAAAGATGAGCCAAAAGAACACAATGAAGACCAAACTTTCATCAAAAAGAAGAAATTACAGTGGACAATGATTCCAAAGAACAGAAATCTCCAAGGATCCCTGGAGATGCTGAGAAGGATATTGGGCTTCTGAAAATCATACACGGATTGATGGCAAGACATTTTGCTCACAGGTATAAAAACAAGAAATCAAACAGACTGGAAGATGAAGACACTCAATTAGCTGGCAGTTGACTTATGCAAATGCCTTCCCATACACTTTTAAATGTAAATACCTAGGTCATTAAAGCCTAATTCTTCTTTGTGGCTGTACAGATAATTTAACGTGAGAGTCTGTTTCTTTTCTCTGTAGTACTGGAGTTTGAACTCAGGGCCTAACCTACACCAATCATTCTACTACCCAGATAAATCCTGAGCCTAAATTGTGGATTTCACCTGTCCTTGTTTGTAGGCATGCATATGAACCAAGCTGGCCACTCTCCTCTGAGTTATGGTTTCCATTCTGGTAGGACAATCACAATTGCCATGTTCTCCACTTAACAGTTTTATAAGGAAACACTTCATAGAGCACAAAGCAGTAAAATTATTGCACAGCATTAAAGGGCAGCTTTAGTAAACTGGAAAGAAGGGACTTCTAAAAGCTCAATCTTTATTTCCAATTTGTTTTCATACTACAGTTGCATAAGATTAAAGGGGCTATTGTTTTACAGAAGCTTAGTTTGCTGGGGTGTAAAATGGGTGTCTTAAGACTCCTCTAACTCTTGGTGCTTTTGTATACTGATATATAATAAAAAAGGTGATGGAACTCTGTAATCATTGGTGATATATACAATAGCCGTCTCTCTTTAAGATGTGTTTAACAGAAACACTTAACAGGCACTGGGAAGATGACTTAACTTTTAGGATCACATTGGCTCTTTCAGAGAACCCAAGTTCTGTTTCTACTGTGACTCACAACTGCCTGAATCTCCAGCTCTAGGGTATCTGACATCTTTATCTGGCCTATGTAGGCCTATGTAGGCTCCTGTATACACACAAACACACACACACACACACACACACACACACACACACTTAAAAATAAATCCTTAAAAACTAAACTAAAATAATTTAAATTTTGTTCTATGTTACAAGCATGAAGGAAGGAGGCAACTCTAAGAACGAAAATTTCTTAGAATATCATAGTCTTTTCTCAAACTAGTAGTTCACTGAGATTCGATACACTGTGAATGGTGGATCATTCATATTTTTTTTTAACAAGGATTGCTGTTAAAGGAAGTCATGTGATTTATCAGAATTGTCCTAAGCAGTAGGATATTGAGAACAAGTAGTGAATTGAATGATGGCAGTAGGAGCTTGCATACTACAATTACAGACACTTACAGTTTAGATTACTTTGTGAAGCAGTCACTTTTCAACAAGTGTCTGAAGGCATACCCCCTCATTCCACATCTCAGCAGTTTACTCCTTGGGCAATTTAAGAAGATAGGCAGAAAACACAATCAAGTTTGGCAAATGATCTTAAATAAAATCCTCTCCGGATTAAGAATAAAACTTCAAGATGATGTTTTTAGAAGTGCCAATGCTTGTATCTAGGTAGGAAAAGGTGTAGAGATCACACACACACACACACATATCTTTTATGGAAAAACTCCATGTAGATGAGATTAGAAAGGTTTCAAGTTGAGCAGACTATAGGAGATTAAGGAATGGGCTGCAGCTAGAGACAACACTATGGAGGACTTCCATTAATTACTTTCTTGTAGAAGATGATGTGATGCTTAGCTGTTCTTTCCTACACCTACCCCATTCTCAAACTGCCAATTTCAGAAAGTAAATATGCAATTTTTCTCCTGGAAAAATCTGCCCTGCAGGTTGTTGTGATAGTTAGCAAGAGCGGGAGCCTGTGTGAAGGCTCCACGATCAGCTGCACAGGTGTGAACCCTGCTGTTCTCTGAAAGCAAAGTACAGCTTCAGTACCATTCATCTCCCCTGAATCTCACTTCTCAAGCCTTCAGACACTCTAAGCAGGGCTGCAGAGAGGCAGGCGGGTGCTTCCTGTGGCTGTGGGAATACTTGCTCTCTACTTTTGCCCTGAGGCAGCAGCAACAGCCCTGGATTCACCATCCACCCACATTTCAGCAATGCAACGTATGTTTTAAAAGGCTCAGACCAGGAAGGTGAGCTGAATAGTACTTCAGTTGCCTTCCTGAATTGAATAACCACGTGTGGAATTTGGGTTTAGGCAAGGCATGCTATAAGGAGGCAGGGGACAGGAGTTCTGATGTCCAGTGCTCTCAAGTTGTATGACTGTGGGCAAGTACTTGTCTGGGGGGACTCAGTTGTTTAACCTTTAAAGTAAAAATAATGATACCCTGTTTGCTTAAAGTCATTGGACAAAATAGAACAATTTCTTCAAGCTTCCTTCTATATTCAAGGAAAATAATGATGAGTTTTTCTCTAGGAATAGGTAAGTTTGGATGGTGTATTTCTCATATTTGACTTGCTTGATTGACATAGAGTAAAGTAAGTCTACAGTTCTCTTTAACTACCTAGGTTGGTGAAAATTCTAAGGTCCCCTTCAGATTTCAGAACTATTGCTGACTTAAGTAATGTATGTCTACTGCTGATTGCTTTATCATCACCATATACTCCATCATTGAGGTCAAAGTACCCCATTAGTGCTGACTTTTTTCAGAATGAGAAAGATATTTCTTGATCTGCATGTGACCCTTATTCAAAGTGAAAACTAAGTGGCCCTTCCCCATCACACAACACAACTTTGTTGGTACCTCTGCCCCTGTCAGGGAGAAGAGCCTTAGTTACTCACAAACTAAGAGTGATCTTAAGAGGTTCGGGTAATACAACTTTAATGAAGAATGCTCTTTTCTCCCCAAAGTCTCCTTAGTACCCATATAAATTTGTCTATCCCATTCCCAGACCTGCAAAAAGGGTAACAATGTCCACTTGCCTTTTATCCACTAAAAAGGATCTCAAGCCAAAGGTAGCCTTGGTCTCTCACTCAAAACAATGGCAACCGGCAAGGCCAAAGCTCTAGATCCCAGAGAATCTACAAGTCTAGCACTCTCTGAGACACTGATGTATTGTTTTGTTATCTCCATCTTGCCATAGATAAAAGGGTAGTGACCTGTCACTGAACAAATCTATTGCTGATCTAGAAATGGCCTCCATCACACTCCCTGTTTCACTTGCACATTCAAAGCAGACCTTGCATTTTTGAATTGCATGCAGCCTCTACTCAAATTAAAATTTGCCTGCCAGTCACTAGTGGGTGAGATAAAGGCACAGTCCCGTGTGCGTGTGTGCGTGCGTGCGTGCGTGCGTGCGTGCGCGCGCGCACGCGCGCGGCGTGTGTGCGTGTGCAGGTGAGATAAAGGCACAGTCCCGTGTGCGTGTGTGCGTGCGTGCGTGCGCGCGCGCGCACGCGCGCGGCGTGTGTGTGTGTGTGTGTGTGTGTGTGTGTGTGTGTGTGTGTGTGTGTGTAGCACATCTCCAAAATCAGCTGTGCACAGATGAAAACAATAGGTTGGTCTTTATTGACTGGGACTCAAGAATGTAGTTATGACTTAATCTTAAATTACTCCACCTGCCCCATACTTGTCTTTTTTTTTTTTTTTTAACCTCTCACCTTTGCCAACATTTTCTGAAACTGAAGCTTTTGCATTCACCTGAATTCACTTCATGGTGATTGGAACAGCCAATTTGTTCTTAACATTCAGGTCTCTGCTTAAACATCCTTTCTTCCAAGAAGCCTTCCTATCTGACATTGTCTCACCACCCCAGGTATTGGGAACCCCCTTCCACTTCATTTCTCTTCATAGCGTTTGCCCCTCCTCCACACCATGCTCCAAAAGAGAAATGTTAAGTTCTCACATAAAATAAACATTTTGTTGTTGTCGTTGTTGTTGTTGTTTACTGACAGCCTGGGTTTAATCAGAAGAGAAATATAAGTAATTTGAACAAGTAAAGTTCAGTCAGTATAAAATATTATCACCCACAACAAGGAATGAGAAAAAAAAAATGATGGGTAAAAGTGACAAGACTCTCTTATCAGTGTGTCTCAAACTGTTTCTACCTGCTAATCCTTTTCATTAGAGAAATTCTGGGCATCCTTGGGTCAAAAGGTACATTAAGTAGGTATACATCTCAAACATTTACAGATGATAAATCAAAAAGAAATTTATTTTGAAATAACTCATTGATGTATATATAACTTAACCGTTAAAGATGAAAAGACATTTGCATACTAACGAGACAGAAGTGCTTATTTATTTTTACACAAAGAATTAAATCCCAGCTGAATATGTGATGCTGCTGCAGGACACCTCAACATTTTCAGAGTTGACAGATACTATGAATATAATCATCAATTCAGAGAGCACCACTTTGCATAAACACATAGAATAAAATGGGAGAAGTATGTTTAGGGCCACCTCGGAAATTGTTGGAGATTCTGTCCTAATCTCAAACCAAAATTCATTGAATGATTTTTTTATGAAGCTCAAGTCAGCAATTCAAACAGCAATTTTAAAAACCAAACATTCTAACACAATCCTATCCAAAGACATACTAATTTGATACTTACATGTGGAAGAATAGTGGTAGGAAAATATTAAAAGTCTGTTTTCTATAATTAAATTATTTTTCCATAAGAGCAGAAAACTTTGTATGTACACTAAAAACACTGAAATTTATAACTTACAATAGTCTAGACTCTGAACCAAGGTGTTCCAGTCATCTTCTAATGATGCTGCATAACAGGGTAGAACGTGCTTGTGTGTTCAGAACCAAGGCTACAGTCCTGCAATGGAATGCTGGGCCAGAAAAACCTTTGATTCATTATACATTTGATTTTGAATTAATTTTTTGGTTATGTGTTCAGAATATTTTAAACT